TGCGCTCTCGGCGCCTTGCGATGCGACCTCCCACGCCTCGGTGAACCGCTGGCATGCAGCTCGACCGCCGCTGCCGCAGGACCCGCGACTGTGGCAGAGCCAGAGCTTGGGAGCCAACGGCTCTTCCTGCCACTTTCTTCATCCGGCTCAGGCTGGTGCCGCCTCGCGGCCCTCGGCCCTGCTTTCCGCCGCTCGCGCAAGTGCGGGGCGCGCTCGCGACTTGGCTGTCGGTCGCCGGGCTGGCCTTCCACTCCACTCTCCTGCTCTGGGGCTCGCTCTCCGCACCCGCCTCGACCCTCGCGCGGCGCTGCTGCGCCTCGCGCAACTGGGCTACTGACCTGGGGATTTGGCGGAGGCCTGGAATCGTCCCAGGGGAAGCCACAGAATGTCCCGGGCTTCTGCTGCTTGTGTGAGTCCACTCCAACCTCTCCAGGAGGCCCTGGGGCGCAGTGCCCACTCGGATCCCCGCGGCGCAGCCTGTGGCCAAGAGTGGGCACGGCTCTCTGCCTCCTGGCTAGCCTGCCCGCGGGCCCCCCCCCTTTTTACTGGGGCTTACTCAGCCCCCATCGTGGTGGCTGGTGCGTCCTGGCGCTTGGTCAGCCTGTCCGGATGTTGCGCTTTTGGAAGGGTGAGGCTGCGTGTACTGGCCCGAGTCCCAGTACACCATGAGGGCATTGCCTTGGGGGCATTCAGGCTGCTGGGTTCAAATACAGCTCCCCTTTCACTCCGGCGTGGCACTGGTAGATATTTTGTCCCCCCGACCCGTCTCCGTTTCCCCGCACCGCTAGCTGCGGGCACATAATGTACCAGACGCAGACATTAAGGAATGGCCAACGTGAGTTTCACAACCTTCCGGTGTGATTTGGAGGCCTGCTCTGTCTCCCAGAACAGGTGGGCCACCTGCTCCTCAATTTTGGCAAGGTACGGCCCATTGGGACGCGAGGGCACGGTGGGCCAAGGGGGCTTCGCGATATTTATTTACCCTTTATTTATTTCTTATTTATTTACTTTTATTTAATTTTGGAGGGGTATTTGTTCTTCTTATTATTCATTCTTAATTTTTTCTAATTTTTTTTTTGCGCGGAGTCTCGCTCTAGTCACCCAGGCTGAGCTGCCAGTGGTGTGAATCATTGCTGCCTCAAGCCTTGCCCATCCCAGGTTCATGCATTCTCCTGCTCAGCCTCCCGAGTAACTGGGATACAGGCCGCCCGCCCGCTACCGCCTGGCTAATTTTTCTGTATTTTACGTAGCGATGGGGTTTCTCATGTTAGCCAGGATGTCCTCGGATCTGCCTGACTCTGCTCCACCCTGCTCAGGCTCCCAAAGTGCTGGGATCTCACACGGCCGGCACTGCACCCCAGCCTATTTTTTTCTTTTAGTTAATTTATTTAGTTCTATTTTCTCTGAGATGGAGTTTTTCACTCTTGCTCCGCCCCACCCAGGCCCTGGCGTCAGTTGGCACAATCTCGGCTACTGCAGGCCCGCCTCCATGGTTCACGCATTCTCTGCCTCAGCCCCTCCTAGTAGCCTGGGCCTACAGGCGCCTGCACCCACCTGGCTGTTTTGTGTATTTTTAGTCAACACGGGGTTTCCGCATGTTCAGCCAGGGTGGTCTCGATCTCCTGTGTTAGCCAGGGTGGTCTCGATCTCCTGACCTCGTGATACGCCCACCTCAGCCTCCCAAAGTGCTGGGATTACAGGCGTGATCCACCGTGCTCAGCCCTGGCCCTATTTATTATTGTTATTATTATTATTTGAGTCGGAGTCTCTCTCTGTCACGTAGGCTGGAGTGCAGTGGTGCGATCTTGGCTCGCTGCAAGTTCCGCCTCCCGGGTTCACGCCATTCTCCTGCCTTAGCCTCCCGAGTAGCTGGGACTACAGATGCCCGCCACCACGCCCGGCTAATTTTTTGTATTTTTAGTAGAGACAGGGTTTCATCGTGTTAGCCACGATGGTCTCAATCTCCTGACTGCGTGATCTGCCTGCCTCAGCCTCCCAAAGTGCTGGGATTATAGGCGTGAGCCACTGCACCCGGCCTATTAGTTTTTTTGAGATGGAGTGTCACTGTGACACCCAGGCTGAAGTGCAATGGCGTGAACTCAGCTCACTGCAACCTCCGCGTCCCGGGTTCAAGTGATTATCCTGCCTCAGCCTCCCCAGTAGCTGGGATTACAGGCACCCACCACCACACCTGGCTAAGGATATTTATTTATTTATTTATTTATTTATTTTTGAGACAGAGTCTTGCTCTGTTGCTCAGGCTGGAGTGCAGTGGCATGATCTGAGCTCACTGCAACCTCTACCTCCTGGGTTCAAGCAATTCTCCTGCCTCAGCCTCCCTAGTATCTGGGATTTCAGATGTGCACCACCACGCCTAGCTAATTTTTGTATTTTTAGTAGGATGAGGTTTTACCATTTGACCAGGCTGGTCTCGAGCTCCAGACCTCCGGTGATCCATTTGCCTCGGCCTCCCAAAGTGCTGGGATTACAGGCATGAGCCACCGGGCCCAGCCTAGGATATTTATTTGAAGGCAGGGAAGCCTATGGCAGTAGATGTTGTGGAGGGAAGGCCAAGTGTAGGCACTCATCCCTGGAGCCTGCAGGCTGGGGGAGGGGGAAATACTAGGGCTCTGGTGGGCCCCTGGGGGTGGTCCTGTGGGTTGGCTGGGGCCTTGAGAGGAGAGGAGGCTGGAGGGGCAGCAGGTGTGCCTGGCTTCAGGGGAGCCTTCTGCTGGGCTCCCTGCCCCCAGCATCCCCTCTAGTCTACCTTCCTCCACAGCCTTGGATAAATGTCCCAGTATGTCACTTGGGTCATGTTGCTTCTCCTGTTGGAGGAGCCCTGGGGTTCCCTGTTGTCTCCTGTCCCCTGCCCCACTCTGTCCCTCCTGAATCTTGCCTCCCGCCAGAAGCCACCTAGTGAACATTTGTTGAATGGATGAATGAACATAAGCATGAGACTGTTGGTGCCGCCCTGTTCTTGCAGCATGTGCTCTGCTGGCCCTGCTGGGGCCCTTTGCAGGCTCTTTGGTAGGCAGCCTGGTGTTCTTGGTCTCTTCTGTCAACAACCTTCTTTTCCCAAGAACTTGTAAGCCCCACCTATCGGGGCCTTTCCTTTCTGCGCTGTTAGTATCTAGCATGGTATTTAGCACAGGGCTGGCCTGCAGCACTTAGGCAGTGGCTCCTGGCGGCCTGGGGAGGAAGAGGGCTTTCCTACCACTCATGCCCCCTAACTTTTCTCCCTGCGCAGAAAAGGACTGGACGGAGGAGGACCGGGCCCGGGAGAAGGTGCTGATGCAGGAGCTTGTGACCCTCATTGAGCAGCGCAACGCTATCGTCAACTGCCTGGATGAGGACAGGCAGAGGTGACATGGCCAGGGGTGGGGGCTCCTGGGAGGCAGGGCCAGAGCAGATCAGGCCCATGGCCCCATGGGTGGGGCAGCTCCCTGGAGAGCCAAAGACACAGTCCACACCTCAGGCCAGGCCAGCCCTGCCCTCCTACCAGTGATCCCAGCACACCCTTGCTCAGCCCTGTGTGGACAGAGAGGGCATCTGCTCCTTCCTTCTGTGGGACTTTCAGCTGCTGCTGTTTTTTTTAATTTTTTTTTTTTTTTTTTTGAGACAGCATTTCGCTTATTGCCCAGGCTGGAGTGCAATGGCGTAACCTTAGATCACTACAACCTCTGCCTCCCAGGTTCAAGCAAATCTCCTACTTCTGCCTCTCGAGTAGCTGGGATTACAGGCATGAGCCACTACACCCAGCTACTTTTTGTATTTTTAGTAGAGACAGGGTTTCACCATGTTGGCCAGGCTGATCTCGAACTCCTGACCTCAGATGATCCACCTTGGCTTCCCAAAGTGCTAGGATTACAGGCGTGAGCCACCGTGCCCAGCCTAACTGCTGCTGCTTATTTCAGGGAGGAAGAGGAAGACAAGATGTTGGAAGCCATGATCAAGAAGAAAGGTGAGGCCCTTGATGGGGATGAGGCTGGTGCCCAGTTGAACTTCAGCATTGGGGGTGGAAGGGAGGGATTGGTTGAAGGGAGGATTGGAGTGGGCACTACCAGGATGGCTGTGCACAAACTCCGCAGCCTCTGTTTTGCAGAGAGGGCTGTGTGTAGCAAGAGAGGCCAGCCTACAGCCAGGAAGGCTGTGGCTTAGGCTTGGAGGGTAGCCGTGGGATGCCCTGATGCCCACAGAGACGACTGTGGATTTGTCCTCAGCTGTGCATTCCCCCTTGAGATCTGCAGCTGGTTTTGTTGGAGTCTGTGGGCCCAAACAGCAATGCTTCCTGGGGACCAAGTGGTGCTTGGAACAGTTAAAAGAGTACTGGATAGGAGATCGAGATCATCCTGGCTAACACAGTGAAACCCCATCTCTATTAAAAGTACAAGAAATTAGCCAGGCGTGGTGGCGAGCCTCTGTAGTCCCAGCTACTCGGGAGGCTGAGGCAGGAGAATGGCATGAACCCAGGAGGCGGAGCTTGCAGTGAGCTGAGATCGTGCCACTGCACTCCAGTGTGGGTGACAGAGCAAGACTGCGTCTCAAAAAAAAAAAAAAAAAAAAAGATAAATGGGGCCGGGCACGGTGGCTCATGCCTGTAATCCTAGCACTTTAGGAGGCTGAGGCGGGCTCATCGCCTGAGGTCAGAAGTTTGAGACCAGGCTGGCCCAACATGGTGAAACCCCATCTCTACTAAAAACACAAAAATTAGCTGGGTGTGGTGGCACACTTCTGTAGTCCCACCTACTTGGGAGGCTGAGGCAGGAGAATTTCTTGAACCAGGCGGCAGAGTTTACAGTGAGCTGAGACCGCACCATTGCACTCAAGCCTGGGCGACAGAGACTCTGTCTCAAAAAAAAAAAAAAAAAAGAAGGCTGGGCACGGTGGCTCAAGCTTGTAATCCGAGCACTTTGGGAGGCCGAGACGGGCGGATCATGAGGTCAGGAGATCGAGACCATCCTGGCTAACACGGTGAAACCCTGTCTCTACTAAAAAATACAAAAAAAAAAAAAAAAACTAGCTGGGCGAGGTGGCGGGCGCCTATAGTCCCAGCTACTCGGCAGGCTGAGGCAGGAGAATGGTGGGAACCCGGGAGGCGGAGCTTGCAGTGAGTTGAAATCTGGCCACTGCACTCCAGCCTGGGCGACAGGGCGAGACTCCGTCTCAAAAAAAAAAAGAAAAAGATAAAAAAAGAAAAAGATAAATGAATGCCATGCTTCAGAATTCCCAGATTCTAGGCCGGGTGCGGTGGCTCATGCCTGTAATCCCAGCACTTTGGGAGGCTAAGGCAGGGGGGATCACGAGCTCAGGAGATGGAGACCATCCTGGCTAACACAGTGAAACCCCGTCTCAACTAAAAATACAAAAATTAGCCAGGCGTGGTGGCGGGCTCCTGTAGTCCCAGCTACTGGGGAGGCTGAGGCAGGAGAATCGCTTGAACCCAGGAGGCGGAGGTCACAGTGGGCCAAGATTGCGTCATTGCGCTCCAGCCTGTATGAGACTCAGTCTCCAGAAAAAAAAAGAATTCCTAGATTCTGCAGAGCTCTTACATGTGCTGACCATCCTGATCTTTCCCCAAACACTGGAGGTGGGAGGGGGAGGATGGGCCCCATCCTCTAGATGAAGAGACAGAGGCTGGGAAAGGTGAGTGGCTTGTCCCTCCCAGGCTCCACACAGGAAGTGGTGGGGCTGGCTGAGCCCTGCTGGCCATGCCCAGGCCTGTCACTGGCTCTAGCCTGCCCTGGATGGACTCCTCTTCTCCATTTAAGTGCTCCCCTGTCTGTGCTGCAGAGTTCCAGAGGGAGGCTGAACCCGAGGGCAAGAAGAAGGGGAAGTTCAAGACCATGAAGATGTTGAAACTGCTAGGAAACAAACGTGATGCCAAGAGCAAGTCCCCCAGAGACAAGAGCTAACAGCACGAGAAGCCAGTTGGGGACTGCCCCCTCCTGGACCAGCTCCTGGGCTGTGCTCTGTTTGAAGGGGACGCGCTGCTCCCCTCAGATCAGTCAGGAGGAAGATGACTAAGAGGAGGGATCCTCGGGGTGATGGCCTCTTCCTCCTCAGGGGCCTCTGACTGCTCTGCGCCAAAGAGTCTTTTCTTTCTTCTCCGAGCCCCAGGCAGCGGTGACTTGGCCCTGCCCAACCTGATTCTGATGACTGCAGATGCTGCAGTCCCAAGGGGCAAATAGGGTCCCAGGGTCCAGGGAGGGGCACCTGCTGAGCACATTCGCCCCCTCACCCTGCCCAGCCCCTGCCATGAACTCTGGCCTGGGTCTCCACCTCCAGGGTCCTGCTCTTCCAGGCAGGCCAGGAAGTGGCGCTGGGCCGCACTGGCTTCTTCCTGCCCCAGCCCTGGCTCTGAGTCTCTGTCTTCCTGTCCTGGGCAGGCGCCCCTGGCTCTCAGTTTCCCTCACTCAGGAGCTCTGTTTCTGACGTCTCCAGTTAAGTTTGAGTTTATGACTGAGAGGCCTGTACTGTCAGACGTGAATGGGCCTGACGGGCAAATCCATCCCTCTCTCCCTCACAGTTCCAGGAGCAGCTTCCCTCGTCTCCCCTTACTCCACAGGGAGCCTCCCTTGCCAGGACCAGGGCTGCGATGGCCATGCTGGGGCAGGTGGGTGCCCTGTTGGCTGCTCTCAGTGCTGCCCCCAGGCTGCAGTTCCAGTCCCTGGTTGTCAGGTAGGAAGAGGGTACACTCGAAGCACGTGCTCATCTTGTTTCCTTAACGTCTGTAGTCTGACCCCTCATTTAGACTTTCCTCTGCTACCCCGGTCCAGGGGAGAGGCTCGCTCCCGCCCGTGGTCATCACTGGTCTGTCTCCCCTGTTGTCTGTTCTCTCCCTGACTCCCTCCCACCGAAGGCCTGATGGCCACTCGCCCCTCTGGGATAGCTATAGGAGAGGAGGAGTGATGGGGGCCACCACCTTTTCTACAGGAAATGTGCCCAGCAGCTCTTGGTCAAAGCACTGTTGCTATAAGCTATCTCTGGGACGCCTCTAGGCCCCCTTCCCTCTACACACCTCTGGGAAAAGATCACACTGTATTAACTCTCGAGGAGTTTCCTCACCAATAAACAGACAACCTCAACTGCCAGTGCCCTGCCGCCTCTGGCCATAGCGGCAGCCTTGTCTGCCCTCCCGCCTGCCTCTGCCACAGCTGGTGGCTGAGCATCTCTGGTCCCCCAGAGGCCATGTTGGAGTCATCCTCCAAGAGGGATCTCTGCCCTCACCGCCTGCCACTGGGCAGGATCCCTTTCCTCTGCAGGGAGAGGTGGCTCCTCGGCCATGCAGCCCCTAGCAGGCTGTTTCTAAACACTCCTGTTGGCCTGGAGCTGGAGCCACCAACTCCAGGGCCTTTCCAGGGCCAGACAGGTAACACGCATGAACCCAAGTGACAGCTCTGATGGGCTGTTTCAGTGTCAGGAGACTAAGCTGGCAGGGGCAGGGGTGAGCTGGAGGCAGTTTGAGGGGCTACCTTCCTCACTCAAGTCACCTGTGGCCTGTGGCGCTGAATGTGGGCCCGGTGTTGCCAGATCCTTTGTTTGTCATAAGAAGCTAGAAATCCAGATTTTATATGTGTGTCATTTGGTCATATCAGTCAAGGGTTGGCTGATACTGTGTGTCCAGGGTGGGCTGGATCTGTCCTGGGGTTCTCTGGTTTGCTGCCTCCTGACCACATGATGGGGCCTTTGAGGTGGAGGACAACTGTTCCCATCAGGGTGCACCCTCTGCCCTCAGGTTCTTGAGGGTGTGTGGACACAGAGGCTTTCCGTGGAATGTCCCTGAGCCGGCCCTTGATCGGGGCCTCACCACTTCAGGGCCGTGTTTATTCTGCAAACCAAAACTTGGATCATGTGGCCTGATAGGATTATGAGACTCCCTCCAGGTGCCCGAGACAGGGTTGATATTTCCAAAATATTCTGGTGATTTACTGGGACAGGCAACTGACAGAATACTGGAGAAGGTAGGGATCATGGGTATCAGGAACTAGAGGGGAGGGGACAGATGTGATGTGTACAGGACACGGTGTCGGGTGGCTCCTTCCCCAGCAGGGCCTCACAGATGCACAAGCACGGAGCTGCTGGGTTTTGCCCAAGAAAGGTCACACGGCACATGCTGGGATTGGAACTTCCAGGCCAGGGCTCTAGGTCCCTCCCACCCTTTCGTGTTTCTTTCTGTGGCCATGGGTATAGTGGAAAGACATAAAGCTAAAGCCAGCTTTGAATCCCGAGTACACTGCTTGCCAGTTAGATGCCCTTGGCTGTGGTATCTCATTAAGACCTAGTTTTCACAGAGGAATAATGAACCATTGCAGAGGTTTATTGAGATCATTAACAGAGTGGAATTCAGCACCTGCCACAGCAGCCAGCCATGGGGTGCCCAAGAGGTTGGCTCCCATTGCCACTTGAAATATGCAAACAGGTAGCTGGAAACCATCTGTGCTTGACAAATTCTAACGCCTTGAACAAATAAGCTTATCCCTCTGAAAACAAAATGGTGCTTGTAATGACCCACGTTCAATATGTTTTATTGGCCAGTTAATCATTGTGATTGAATACTTGCCTAAGGCGGTAAGAAATCAAATAAGTAAATCCTAAAACAGAAAGAAAGGAATCATTTTCATTCCTGAATTCAGAAAACCAAATGAACAGGCCACAGGCTGGAGGTGGTGGGAAGCAGGCCCAGTGGATACCTTTAGACACACGTCCTATTAGGGATGCTCAGGTCTTACTCCTCTGTGTATGGGGCTGTGGGTCTCGGGCTCCAGTGGCATTCCTGGGCAGGGGCTAGGCTGCTGAGTATGCCTTGGGGTACTGCAGGGCAGTGCTGTGCCACCATCTAACGTGGCTGAAGGCTGGTAGGGTGGGTTGGCCTGAGGATGGCCCTGCCTGGCAGAGGAGTGGACTCCAGTGGTCGAGCTTGGGCTATGCTGCCTATCTCTGGAGACAGATTAAGTGGTGGCAAGAGCCTTCCTAAGTTCCTCACTCCTCCTGCGGTCAATGTCTTCCATTTCCCGGAGTTTCTGCAAAGGGCATCAGGGAAAGTGGATATATCAGGGCTAGGAACCCGAGGAACCGTCACAGCAGTGAGCTAGAGCTTGACCCCTGAACCCTGCCACAGCTGGCCCTGTATTTCCATTCACACTTGCTCTGGGCCCTTCCCCTCCCTGCTTCCCCAGTTGTTTCTCCTACCTGGGATATTTCAGCAAGGATGATTCCTCGGTACTGTTTGCCCTGTCCCAGGGCCTCCATGTCAGTCAGGAATTCTTTCCTCTCCTGGATTTCCTTCACCACTGGACAGAGGAGAGGGCTGTCAGGCTCCCGTGACAGATGCCGGCAGCAGGTTGCCTCTCTTGAGGAGAAGAAGTGGTTCTATTGTCAAATAGTGTTTCTAGGCTGGGCACGGTGACCCGTGTCTGTAATCCCAGCACTTTAGGAGGCCGAGGCGGGTGGATCACGAGGTCAGGAGTTTGAGATCAGCCTGACCAACATGGTGACCCCTTGTCTACTAAAAATACAAAAATTAGCCAGGCGTGGTGGTGCACACCTGTAATCCCAGCTACTCAGGTGGCTGAGGCAGGAGGATCGCTTGAACCTGGGAGGTGGAGGCTGCAGTGAGCCCCGATCATGCCACTGCACTCTAGCCTGGACAATAAGAGCGAGACTGTCTCAAAATAAATATATTAAATAAATAAATAGCGTTTCTCACTTGTTGACCCCCAGGGATCCCCTGACTGCTGCATCCAATTCTGGGCCCCCTCCTCACATTACCCCCACCCCCAGCATGACTGGTCCATCGGAGCCTTACACTCTTCAAATCGGTCTTGCTCAGGGGCTGGAGCCTCCTGTCGTGCAGGAGGGGCCTTTCTTTTCCGTTCCTCTGGGTCCTTCCCCATGGCAAAGATATTTTGGAGTCTTTGTTTCTCCTTCTCCAGATCTCCTGTAGGGCCAAAAAGAAATGGCCTAGTTAGGCCGTGAAGGGTGCCCTCATTCATGGTCTGCGTTCCCAAGTGCACGCGCTTGCTGCAGGGTGCCTGGTCATGCAGACAGGGCTTCTGTACACCTGGCTCCTACCCTGGGTTCTCCTGAGCAATACTGTACTGTCAAGAGAGGCAGAAGGAGGTTGAAAGAACCAAGAAAAGACTCTGGGTATGTTCTGTAATTCCGACACTTTAGGAGGCTGAGGTGGCAGGATCACTTAAGACCGGGAGTTCAAGACCAGCCTAATGGATGTAGTGAAACCCCCATCTCTTTTTTTTCTTTTTCTTTTCTTTTTTCTGTCTTTTTTTTTTTTTTTTTTTGGAGACAAGGTCTGACTCTGCTGCCCAGATTGGAGTGCAGTGACATAATTTCGACTCACTGCAACCTCCCGGGCTCAAGCCATCTTCCCATCTCAGCCTTCCGAGTAGCTGGGACTACAGGTGGACATCATCGTGCCCAGCTAATTTTTGTATTTTTTTTTTTTTTAAGTAGAGATGGAGTTTTGCCACGTTGCCCAGGCAGGTCGCAAACACGTGAGCTCAAGCAATCTGCCAGCCTTGGCCTCCCAAAGTGCTGGAATTACAGGGCCAATATCCCATCTCTTAAAAAAAAAAAGAAAAAGAGTCCGGGCACGGTGGCTCACACCTGTAGTCCAAGCATTTGGGAGGCCAAGGTGGGCGAATCACCTGAGGCCAGGAGTTCAAGACCAGCCTGGCCAACATGATGAAACCCCATCTCTACTAAAAATATAAAAATTAACTGGACATGGTGGTGGACACCTGTAATCCCAGCTACTCAGGAGGCTGACATGAGACTTGCTTGAACCCAGGAGGTGGAGGTTGCAGTGAGCCAAGATAGCACCACTGCACTCCAACCTGGGCACAGAGTGAGACTCTATCTCCAAAAAAAAAAAGAAGTTTTGTCAAAACCCACACACTGCTTTGGTGCAGAGCAAGGCTAAGAAAGCTCAGGAACCTGGGGCCTTGGCGATGCCTGTAGTGGCAACCTATGTGTAGGGGCTGCAGGGAGAGGTTGGGCTGTGGCCTTGAGCCCTGATAGCCCCTAAAATCAGGAATTGGTAGATTCCAGCTAATCGTGAGTTCTGGAAAAATAAAAAAAGAGGACCATCTGACTGGTTTCCTCTGCGCCCTGAATACCCCTAAGCTAACATGTGCTGAGGCTCAAGAGCATCGGTACAAAGTGCATGGGGATGTGATTAGCTACCTTCCCACTGCTTGCGTCCCTCTCCCCTGTCCTCCCCCAGGGAGATGGGGAAAGGCCGAGATTCTCACTTACTGGTGGCTTGAGGCTTGAACTGCTCCCGACTGTAGGCCCCATTGGCTTGGCACATGTTGGCAGGCCGGAGGTGGGGACGGGCTGCGAGGATGGGAGGCAGGTAGATAGGCGAGGCTATTTGCTTGGAAGGTAAGACCCTCTGACTGGATGTTGGGCTGCACTGTAGGGGCAAAGCATCTCCTCCTTGGGAATGAAGAGTGGGGGTGGGAGGACCCACATGGCTTTTTTTTTTTTTTTTTTTGAGTCTGAGTCTTGCTCTGTCACTCAGGCTGGAGTGCAGTGGCGCAATCTCAGCTTACTGCAACCTTCGCCTCCTAGGTTCAAGCGATTCTCCTGCTTCAGTCTCCCAAGTAACTGGAATTACAGGCATGTGCCACCATGCTCAGCTAATTTTTGTATTTTTAGTAGAGACGGGCCATGTTGGCCAGGCTGGTCTTGAACTCCTGACCTCAAGTGATCCACCCACGTCAGCTTTCCAAAGTGCTAGGAATATAGGCATGAGCTATTACACCCGGCCACTTTTTAAAAATAAAAGTTGGCTGCGCATGGTGACTTACGCCTGTAATCCCAGCACTTTGGGAGGCCGAGATGGGTGATCACCTGAGGTCAGGAGTTTGAGACCACCCTGGCTAACACGGTGAAACCCCGTCTCTACTAAAAATACAAAAAATTAGCCAGGCGTGGTGGCAGGCACCAGTAGTCCCAGCTACTCAGGAGGCTGAGGCAGGAGAATTGCTTGAACCCAGGAGGCGGAAGTTGCAGTGAGCCGAGATTGAGCCACTGCACTCCAGCCTGGGCAACAGAGGGAGAC